ACAAGAATGAATGAATGAACAGCTGCCTATAAGAAGCTGTGTCGTGTTTGCGTCCTGAGATATGTAGGCCAAACAGGCAGAGGGAGGAGTGTGTGTGTGTGTGTGTGTGTGTGTGTGTGGGGAGGGGTATAGGAAGAGAGGGTGAGGAGAGGAGAGTTGTCCTCAGGATGACCCACAGCAGCACCAGACATCTCTCTCTCTACCTCCCCTCTCTCTCTCCCCCTCTCTCTCTACCTCCCCTCTCTCTCCCTCTCTCTCTCTCCCTCTCTCCCTCTCTCTCCCTCTCTCTCTCTCTCCCCCTCTCTCTCTCTCTCCCCCTCTCTCTCTCTCTCTCCCCCTATCTCTATATGCTCGCTCGCTCTTTGCTGCGTAATCGTCTGAAAGAGGGAGAATAAAAAGAGAAGCTTGACCTCCTCTCTTAAACATCTTCTCACAAAAAGGTTCAGTTAGAAACCACAAATAAAAATAAAAAGTAAAGTGTTTGATTTTAAAGTAGCAATCTGGAAGATTTTACAATGTTTATGCAATACTTTAAATGAGGTTCGGTGTATTGTCATTAATATACAGCATGTTACTATTACTATAGAATGCCAGCTCCCCAAAAGGGAAGCCAGAACATCTGGATCGCCCCCTGGTGGCTGGATTAGTTTTTAATTCATATTTGATTCATTTTGTATTGTGATGTTCGTGTTGCTGATTTTCTTGACATTTGTTACACTTTCGAAGCTCAGATTGACATTCTCTGATGTCTGTTCGGTAAATATGAAACTACACACAGCAGCCTTGTTAGCCTAGCTTAGCATAAAGACTGGAAACAGAGGGGAACAGCTAGCATGGGTCAAGACACTGAAGAATAAATTTATTTTATATATTTATCAGTGATATTTAGGTGGATTCTGTTGATCACGGTCATAATTTATCATTATTTAAAGTTATCATCTTAAAGAGCTTTATGAAATCATCCCCCAATTTGGATTTTATTTATTTTTAAATGACATTTAAGTCTTAACATGTTACATTCTTTAGTTTCCTGTTTTATATAGTATTATTTTTGTTTTGGTGGTGGCGGAGTCCGCCATTCCCGGTCTGGATGCAGAGTTTAAATGTGACGCTTTAATCAGATGAACTTGATCTCCTGTGAAATAAACTTTTGGCTGCAGTCGTATATTCACTATGACGATTGGAGTACTTGTACCATACTTGAGTATTTCCTTTTTCTGCTACTTTATACTTCTACTCCTCATGTCAGATGCAAATATTATACTTATTTATTTATTCATTTATTTGTTACCTTACGGACTCAGATTATTAATACAAATTATTATCAACAAATAAATGATATATGTTTTTATATATTAATATAAAACTTTGATACCCGGGACGATATTCACAGGCAACTCAGCATATATATATTAAATAATTAAAATAAGCTTTAAAGTGATGAACACATCAATGCATCAATAATTATAATATGATAATATATATTACTCTCTTTATTTTAAATTACAAAACATCTTCTATCGTCCACAATCATTTTTTTTAAAGGAAACTTTGTACATTTTGGGAGAACTGAAGTTTGCAAATATGTCAAAATATAAAAAAGTCAACGAGGTTTAAAGTTTAAACATTGCAGGATAATTTATTCAAAACCTGATATACATCACTCAGCATGGTGAGTACTATTACTTTAGGTGTACTTTTACTTTGGAATGCATGGCTTTTACTTGTAAAACACAGAGTACGTCTACACCGAGGTAGTACTACTTTTACTGAAGTAACAGATCGGAGTACTTCCTCAACTTATAGAACCGCTTGTTTTCAGAGTGTGTGAGAAGCTTTAAACATGAGATTTAGTCCTCATCGACCTGCCCCACACACACACACACACACACACACACACACACACGTGTGTACACACACACGTGTGTGTGGAAGTAGGTCAGTAGTGAAAGGGTTCTCTGCTGTCCTCACTCGGCCTCTGTTCGGCCCGTCACACCACTCGTGTCGACTCTAATTCTCTCCTCCTCCCTATATCCTCCCTCCTCCTCCCTCCTCCTCCTCCTTATATCCTCCCTCCTCCCCCTCCTCCCTATATCCTCCCTCCTCCTCCTCCTCCTCCCTATATCCTCCCTCCTCCCCCCCTCCCTTTTGTCTCTGCTCTGATTAGAAAGGCAGCAGGTCCCACCCCTGGTTCAGGGTCTTGTGGAGGTTTAACTCTTCAGCTGCCGCCTCTCGTCGTCCTTTTTAAAAATATTTTTTAAATTTCACCCTTTAAAAAACGTCTCTTTCTAAACGGCCTGTGTGTGTGTTTGGCTTCTACCAAACCATGTGTGTCTTGTAGCCGGGGTGTGTGTTTTGCATTTGAAGGGAGACCCCCGACGCCAGAGCTCTGCGTTCGTGGAGGAGGATGTCTCATCTCTGGGGGAGAGGCTCCGTGTTCCAGGACGGCTGGATGAAGACCTGTGAACAAATGGTGTGTTACCTAACCCCCAAACAGCTTTACATGATTTACAGTAGGGGGGGGAGGCGGGGCGGTGTTTGAGCTCATACTGCCCTCTGCTGGCAGAAGAAGCAAACAAGATGTGCCGTTTATTTCTCCACAAAAAAACGCCCCAACATGGCTCCCGAAAAATGAAACGGAAACAAAAAAATCCACCTAAAAATCTGTAGAGTTTAATTTAAAAAAACCCCCCCCCCCCTTAAAAAAAGTGCCCAGAATGTGAAGCTCAGAGCGACAGAGCTGTGGTGAAGCCGGCAGCGCGTTGGATGTGGAGGACAGCGTGTTCCTGTTCTGTGGTTCAATGACTCGAGGTCATCGAGGATTAAAATAAATTATGATAATAAAACGAGCTCACGGTGGGAATCAAGCTGCTGCTCAAGTGTTTATAGAAATATAGTGTTTTATATGTAATTATATTCATTTGATTTATGATTTTAAAAATGTGTGAAATAATTAACAAATAAGTTGCAGTATAAATACAACCAGCAGTGGAAGTACTCTCAGTAAAAATACTCCAAATGTACCATCTAGAATCAAAGTACAGGAGTATTATCACCTTTCACTGTTTTATATTTATTATATGACTGTTTATTGCTGCATTAAAGCAGCAGAATACTGTGAAATGGAAATACTCAAGTACAGTATCGTAGTAGAAACTGTTTAAATGTGAAGAAAACTGACGATCAGACAATTAATCTGTTTTTATAATTAATCATTTCAGTCGTCTTTGGTTCATTTAACGCGTCCGTCTTTTGAAATGTTTCATCTTAAATCACATTTTAACCAAACAGATGTATAAAGTCAGAGCAGCGTCTTCACTCCGTTTCTTCTTCTGTCTTTCAGACCAACAGAAATAAACGATGTTAATAATTATCACTGACATCCAACATGTGAATCAGTCCAGACTCGAACCCGCAACCTCTACGTCACTCTGTACAGATTAAAGGAGCAATAAAAACATCTGAGTCACGACTGCTTTTGAAACTTTTATTTTTTGCTTGCAGACAAAAAGAGAGAAAGAAATCCATGAAAGTCCAGATATAATAAATAAATAACCTAAAACATTTGTCTATTGAAGCGGTTTAAAGTTACAGAGCTCGTGTGACGATGATTGTTCTGTTTGCATATCTAACGAGTCTACGAGAGAAGCTGAACAAAAACGTATTTCTTCTTTTTAATCTTTAACCCGACATATGAAAAGTTAAAAACCGAGAGCTCGTTGGTTCTCGTCCCTAAAATATCTTCTGTAATTCTTGTGGAAAACCTGAACGATATTGTTTTTCAGTTCACCCGTATCTGAGCAAATAAATGCACGAAAAACGTCGTCTTCTGTCTTTTTAAAGTGTTTTTTTGTTGTTTTTTTAAACTTTGGTGGCGAAGACAAAAACAACCCCAGACGCATGAAAGACATAACTATCATTGTGTACTCGTATGGTCATGCATACAGTATTGATTAAAGTGTAAATGTTTGTAGCTTAACTGACTGAGGTAAAGTTGCCTGTTTCCTGAAGTAGAGCACACATGCCTTTAGTTTCTGTATTTTCTCTTTTTGGACAAGGACACACAAACAGTATTTGGGTTCGTCTCCCTTTCAAGTCAATAAATCTGCTTCTTGTTTTTAAAAAGACAAATAAGAAATGATTTGGGTTTGTGGCTTAAAACGACTGAAGTTCAGTCGGTAACATCCTCCGCCATCTTTGTTTTATTTAATCAGAGCTCAAAGGAAAAATCCACCTTAAAAACACTTGTTTATTTTGTAGTTCACAACTGCAGACTCCATTTCCACCAGATTTCCTACATTTCCCAGAATGCCTCTGAACTGGTTGTTTTCAGTCCAAAAATACACGAGTTTGAAAACCGTGAAAGTTTGAGGCTCATAGTTGAAAATCTGAGTTTAATGAAGTTGTTTCCTTCAACGACATCTGGAGAAGAAACAGTCGTGATTGATTTGTTTTATTTATTTTACGTCATGAATTGAATATTTTGGGTTTTTCGACTGTTGGTCGGCAACAAAAACACACAAGATGTTATTTAAAATATTTCCTTGATTTATTAATTTGTCAACAAAATGTCAGAAAATAGTGATAAACAGTCGTAATAACGTCCCAGAGCTCAGAGTTTTTATTTATTTCACATAATAAATATAAATGTAAAATGTTAATGAGTTTCTAGACTGTTGGTCAAACCACAGAAGAAGACACTAAATACTATTTACAAGCGTTGATTCATTATTTTGACCATTAAAGTGATAAAAAGCGCAAAGATAATGAATTCAGTGTGATATAAATCCTCAGTTTGTGTTGATCCAACAGTTTGAGTTTATTTCGATATCAACGAGGTGGACAAAACAATAGAGACACCTCAGTTTAACACATTCGGACTGTTAGCATTAGCTTTAGCTCGGTGTACCTAATAAACTGTAGTAAGTCTGATCAGCACATCGATATAATCTACCACGCTGTTCACATAAACTAATATAACTTTATTTTGTTTTTGAGACTCTTTGGCCATAAAATGTATTTATTGTCTCTAGTTGAAGTGTGTTGCTTTAATGACACTACCTTTCCAGGTGCATTGTGGGATAAGTTAAGTCTGATATGTAAAGCAGAGTTTTTTGGTGGATGTTTCCCTTGAAGGAGTTGCTGTCTCTTGTTTTACTTCAGTGATTCGTGTTTGGAGGTAAATTCATAAACTGAAATGATGTCGTTGAAACTGAATGGACCCAAATTATCACCGTATTCAACAGAACTCATAATAGCATAATGAAAGTAGATTCAGTCCCCGTTTTATTTATACGTCGTTAAGACTTTTAAAAAAAGGAAAAAAAATACAAAGAAGTAAAAACACGGACGTTGAATTCAATCCGGCGGATTTCTGTTGATTAATAAACAGAATGGCACTAATTTGAGTCGTCTATTCACAAAAACTTTCTTCTTTCAGAACAAAATGTTCTCTTTGTTTAGAGGACGTTCACTCAAGAAAATGGTCCATTATTCTGAAAAAAGTTCTGTATTATTGAGTAAACCATGCGAGGTCTCACCTCTCACTTTAAAAACTCTTTTCTTTTTTTAGTACGAAAAATGACAAAAGCCCCCCCCCCCCCCCCCCCAACCAAAATAAAAGCCTCGTTGTTTGTACAGGAGCAGGATTGGAAACTTACTCGCTCGCAGTGACGTTTGGCGAGTCGTCCCGCGTGTTTGATTGGTCCCCACAGTTCATCAGCAAGAAGGAACTACATCCTGGAGCTTTGTCCTTAAAGTCCGCTCAGTGCTTCTCAGCTGCATCGGGGCCCAAAGCACAAACCTGTCCCGCTAGTTAACTTGTCCTCCAGCCGAGCTGTGACCCTGTCTGAGCTTCCTGCGGCCATCTTTGGGTCCAGAACCATCAGCTGAGAAACACTGACACGCGTCGTCTCCACGGTGGATGCTGTGGAATGAAAGGACGATCGATGTGAAACGGTTAAATGAATCATTTTCCTTTTGAAGATCAATCACTGCTACTCTGCTCCAAATAAACCAAACTATGTGAAACTAAAGATCAAGTTTAAACCGATGAAGAGACTTTACCTCTGCAGAGCGTTCAGGGTCGACCCGAGGAGGATCTGGAGCTCATCACACATGTGAACCTTGTATTCGCAATCTCATTATTTTGGTCACTGGTGTTTTTATTTTTTATTTTATTTTCATGGAATAGCATGTCGTAAGAAATCTATAAAAAAAAGTCATAGTATAACATGTCGTTAAGTCATTGGGTACATCCCAAGTCTCTTACTGTCATTAATACATTAATAATATATAATAATATAAATATATGTTCATGTAGACCAGGGGTCGGCAACCCGCGGCTCGCGAGCCGAATGCGGCTCTTTAGCCTCTCTGTTGCGGCTCCCTGAGGTCCCCCAACTGGCGCACCGGATCTGGACCCAGGACCTAAAAACCGATAGATAATTAGGAATTATATATATTGGGCACCGAGTTTAAACTTTAACCGGCGCCTCTTATTCAGCCATTACAGCACTTGTTCGGCGGTGCAGGAAACACACCGACCAATGCGTTGCAAATCACGTCACGTGATGCAGCTCAGCCAATCAAACATGAGTATTCTGACAAGTTCCCTGCCTCGAGCGAGGTTTACACACACCGTGACACACGGGGCTGAGACGAGGAAATAGAAAGAAGAGCAGGAGAATTGCGCTGAACGAAGAAGATATCTCACATGACGTTCTCCAAAAAGAGAAACGTGTTCAGAGAGAATATAATTTATAAGCAAGAATGAACAGAATCTTAAATGTTAATTATTCCCACAGGCAGTTAATTCCTCTACCAAGCGCCTTTCCCTACAGATCACTAATCATGATTTTCAGACCCCCGCCCTCTGTAAACTATCAATGGATGAATTCAGATAAAGAAAAGTCACGGAGGAAAATAGAGAGTTTAACTCTGCGTGGACGTCTTCATTTGCTTTAAGCACACAGCATTTCCTGAAAAGTGTCACGCTGGAGATGAGCGACAAAGAGCGAATTCTCAGCTGCTGCAGCAAACTCTCTTTATAAGAGTTTGATATTGTTATATCAGGTAAAATTGCAAAAAAATGTCAAGAATTGTCTTTATTCTTGTTCTATATTTTCATAAATACAACAAACTATAGTTTTTGTATATATAATATAACTATATATAACACTTTATAGGCTGTGATATCAAATAGCTTTTGCGGCTCCAGACAAATTTTATTTGGTGGAAAATAGGGCAAAATGGCTCTTTGGATAGTAACGGTTGCCGACCCCTGATGTAGACTGAACAAAAGGACCACAAACAACTTTCTTTAGAAAGATTTGTCTTTTCATGATCTGATATTTCCCTCAATAACTTTTATTATGGAAACAATTAAAGCCAGAGAGAGTTTTACATCATTTATCATCAATTCATTCAGTCACGTGAGGTGGACCATTGATGAGTGTCGGGTTCAATATTTATGCATTTAATTTACTTCTTTAGAAACCATAATCTGGGTTATTTAACAATGACGTCACAATCAGAATTTCAAAACGTACAGACGTAGATAATAATGATGTGATCAACATCTTTACTCTGGCAGTGACGATTACTGTGTCTTTATTAGTAAAAGTCTCTCCAGCTGTTAAAGCCGACTGATCCAGCTTCCCTGGTGGGAGGGACTAAGATGCAAGTTAAACGGGGATGCCGGCATTGCTACAATCCAGCCCGAACTACAGCGAGAGAAGCAGTGGGGTGTCGGAACAAGGGGTATCTGGCTTCATGCCCGTTGTGGTTCAGTACCATCTCAGGAATTCAGAGTGGTCAGGGCTCGGGATTGTCGTATTTGTTTGGGTACTTTGGTCAACTTCATGTTGGCACACTCTTGGAAAATCTTGATGTCTCCTGTTTTTCGCTCTGCTACTCTTAAAGTTACTTCTACAGACACTGTGGTTGCAGGATGAAGATCGGAGATTGGTAAACTGACTGGGACGGGTTCTGTTGAAGTATTCCATGTTAAACGGTATAGGCTTTGTAGGTTGTCAAATATTGGTGCTTCCTGTGCTGGGATTCCTGATGGGAACCCTGGTTTTATGGGAGGAGTGTGACGACCCTCCTCCTATCATACACTAGCTGTCTGGTTGTGTTTCCTTGTGTTACAGGTGCTGATTGGAGGATCGTCAGCAGGATGAGCCACACCTGTGCCAGGGTGGCGCTGCCTTAAAATACCCTCTCCAGTTGGCAGCTGCCCTCTCTGAAAGGAAGATTTTGTTGACAGTCAGGCTTACGACAGTTGTGGCTGTCTTTGTGTAAAGTGCTGTTAACATTGAGTTACTTGTTTTTGGCGAGACAAATAAATTACTACTTTTGGCCGCCAGCTCGTTGTCTCCCTGTTTTTGTTCCAGTTTCTGAGCCGGGCTGTGACATGTCTTAGAAATGTTGAAAAAGTCATGTAAAAAGTCACAGTATAGCATGTC